ATTATAAACTTTTGAACAATAATAGATACAGAGGCAGAGCTGCCTCAAACAGATTGTCAAACTGCAGCGGGAAGGCTGGGGAGGGTTGGGGGGCGGGAGGTAGGGGGGTAAGAGATCAACCAAAGGACTTGTATGCATGCATATAAGCATAACCAATGGACATAAGACACTGGGGGATAGTGGAGGCTAGGGGACTGTCTAGGGCGGGGGGGGGGGGAATGGACACATATGTAATACCCTTTGTAATAAAAAATTTTAAAAAAAAAGTTACTGAGCTAAACTGGTAAAATCGGAAGTAAAGATTACTAATGGGAAATTATAATGCTAATAGTAATAGCAAACAATTCTACTTTGCTTGCTGTAAGCCAGATGTTATTGCACATGCTTTACCTATATTAACTCATTTAGTCCACACAACAAGTCTGTGATGTAGGTTTTGTGGTTATCCCCACCTTATACATGGGAAACTGGGGCACAGTGCGGTTAGCAAGCAACCTGTCTCAGGTCACACAACATGTAGGTGGAGGGGCCAGGATTCAAATCCAGGGAACCATGCTCTCCATAATTGCAGTGTTTCACACAGGAAATGACTTAGCACAAATTTACACAGGAATCTGGTACAAAAGCTGTAAAGTCAAGGCCATAGAAGCCTTCCTTTTTATAACAAAACTGAAGCATGTAATCTTTTGTTTTAGGTGAAGATTCTGAAGATGATTCTGATTTTAGTGAGAGTGAAGATAATGATAAAGACTTCACTATGAGAAAAAGTAAAGAAATTAAAAAGAAAGAAATGAAGGTTAAATCTCCAGTTGTAAAGAAAGAGAAGAAAGCTAAATCCAAATGTAATTCATTAGGTAAGCTTAGTTTAAAACACATTTATAAAGAAAATGTAATTTATTTAATGAGTTTCTTTTATCTTTGCATTTGGTCTCCTTAAGGTTTGCCAGTGTTCATTTCTGGTTAAAATACATAGAAGAAAGTAGGGTGGGGTGAGGAAGGGAGAACAGCAGACAAGAGTAATGAGCTCCACTACCTATCTGGCACTTCCTATGTATTACCTCCCTTTAGCACTGACAGCCCCCCTCTGATATAGCAGTTATCACCTGCATTTTGCAGTGAGAAAACTGAGGCTCAAAGAGTTTAAATAATTTGTTGAAATTCTTACAACTAATAAGTGCAGAGCTGGGATTTGCACCCATATTTGCCCATTCCTGTTGTAAACTCTATCCACTGGACCACATTTTCTCCAGGCAACTTTGCATGATTCTAACTTCTTGCTTTCATGCTTATTTAATTTTTTATTTGAGAACCCTTTTGCCACATGTTTAGGGCCTTTTTGTTTTTTTCAAAACTAATTCCATTAGAAATCATTTCTACAATGAAACTTTTGCAATTTGTAATAATTTTGACATGGGATACTTGTTTCTTTTGTAAAAGACGTTAGGATAGCCCTAACCAGTTTGGCTCAGTGGATAGAGTGTCGGCCTGCGGACTCAAGGGTCCCGGGATCGATTCCGGTGAAGGGCATGTACCTTGGTTGCGGGCACATCCCCAGTAGAGGGTGTGCAGGAGGTGGCTGGTTGATGTTTCTCTTTCATTGATGTTTCTAACTCTCATTCCCTCTCCCTTCCTCTCTGTAAAAAAATCAATAAAATATATTTTTTTAAAAAGTTAGGATATATTTAATTCATGATCTATGTTAGACTATTATAATATAACTTTCATTAAACTGATATGTTTCAGTTGTTGATATATGTTTTTATGTGTTATTTACTTAATAGAAATGCTTTTTTGAAACTAAAATTTTCATTATTCAGGCTCCATTTATTAATGGTAGGAATTGCTCTTGCCTTAAATAGCGTGGTGTTGAGTACTTGCTAATACAGTGGTTCTCAACCTTCTGGTCCTTTAAATACAGTTCCTCATGTTGTGACCCAACCATAAAATTATTTTCGTTACTACTTCATAACTGTAATGTTGCTACTGTTATGAATCATAATATAAATATCTGATATGCAGGATGGTCTCAGGCAACCTCTGTGAAAGGGTCGTTCGACCGCTAAAGGTGCCGCGACCCACAGATTGAGAACCGCTGCCCTAGATGCTAATATATTGACTCACTGACACATACTAATGAGACACTTTATGCAATGTTTAGAAGTATGAACTTTGCGCCGAAACCGGTTTGGCTCAGTGGGTAGAGCGTCGGCCTGCAGACTGAAAGGTCCCAGGTTCGATTCCGGTCAAGGGCATGTACCTGGGTTGCGGGCACATCCCCAGCAGGAGATGTGCAGGAGGCAGCTGGTCGATGTTTCTCTCTCATCGATGTTTCTGACTCTCTATCTCTCTCCCTTCCTCTCTGTGAAAAATCAATAAAATATATTTAAAAAAAGAAGTATGAACTTTGGAGTCAGACCTGGTTCCTAATCCTATTATATTGTTTACTAGTGATCAAGCCACAGACAGTTTGCTCAACCTCTGTTCCCCTAACTGCTGACATTGGGGATGGTAATATCTGTATCAGAGTTTCTGTAAGGGTTAAATATAATGTTTATGATATGCTTACTACACTGCCTATCATATAAATGCTCATAAAAGATGGTTATTCTTAGGTTTTCAGTAAATGTTTATTGATTAATAAGTTTTTCAAAATGACACTGCCTTTTAAATTTTTATAATATTATATAACTATAATTTTTACACATACATGCTGGATTTAAACTCTATTTTATGTGTGTTTTTCTAATAAATGACTTCAGTAGACTCTGCTCCAGCTGCTGTCAAATCAGAATCTCAGCCCTCATCACAAAAGGTTTCTCTTTCTTCAGAGGCAACTAGGAAACCATTACAAATACGCAGCCCTTCAAGTGAAAGCAAGAGACCTAAGTGGGTCCCACCAGGTATGGTATATTTATCAATCAAGAGCAGGGGCTTGGAAAGTTACCACTGGTAGATTGTTTTCCTCATTGTAAATGGTATACATATTGTTACATTTTCTTCAAAACCAAGGTTTTGCATTTATTCATCATTTTATCATTCCCTTATATTGAGCATTGAGATTATTTATTAGTTTTTAATGTTATAAATAAGGTTGCAATAAGCACAAACATCTTTATTTTAGAAGTCTGTGGGCACATCCTAATTATTTTCTTAGGATAAATTCCTAGTAAAAGAATTACAGTGTCAAGAGTATTAACAGTTAAGATTCTTATACATATTTTGGCAATAAATCAGTTTGCTCAAGACTTGCTGACCTCCACAGTCCAACTGAAGAAGCATCAAGGCTCATACGTGGGAATTCCAACATTTAGCAAATGCCCTAGCAAACTCAACCTCTGTCTCGCACAAACTTGACCTTTTTATTTTGTTTTCTTTGTTCCACAGCCAAGTCTCACTGATGCTTCAAGATTTTTTTGACCTTCACCCTTCTTGACATTACTAAAACCCTAACACAGCCCTGTTCATTTTATATCCAAACTATTAGTGCCTTCCTAATAGTTCCTTCTCCACTTGCTTTTGTCCAATCAGTGGAATCCTCTATTCCAGTGAAATGGATACATTTTTTGCCCCTTAAACACAGTGTTTGTATTCTTCTGTCACAGCCTCTCTTTATGCACTTTTCTCTTTCTAGTAAGTCTTTCTTCATTTGTCCCCTGTCCTCTCAGTCATTCCAAGTCTACTCAGGTTTATTTTACTTCTTTTCAGTGACATTCTTGGTTGGCCCACAGTGGTCATTCCTCTAGTCATAACTAGGTATTAATAGACAGATTTAGGCCTGAGACATGATTAAATTTATGAGTCTTCATTCCATCATCTAAAATATTAGGCACTATATAATCTTTAATGTTTTTTTCCAGTTTAAACAACTAAGATTTTAATGAGCACTTAAAAAATTTTTTGGAGAAGGAAAGGAGGAGCATTAGTTACTGAATTAATGATGCAGTGTCATTAGAAGGATAATCCTCAGTGTATTTCTCCTGAGAATAATTAGTGATTCCCCAACAAAAGGAATTTTTAAAAAAATGATTTAATGACAAGAAATTTAAAGGTAGCATAATAAAGAAAGATAGAAAAAAATAATGGAATGATATGGCATGGATGGATAAAGAGTTAATATCAGTGGGAATAGAAAGTTCATACCTCAACATCATAAAAGCCATATATGACAAACCCACAACCAACATCATACTCAATGGGCAAAAACTAAAACCATTTTCCTAAGAACAGGAACAAGACTGGGATGCCCACTCTCACCACTCCTGTTCAACAGTACTGGAAGTGCTAGCCATTGTGATCAGACAAGAAGAAGAAATAAAAGGCTAGAATTATCACCCAGAAATTGATGGCATTTTTACATAGCAATAGTGAATTGTCAGAAAGAGAGACTAAAAAAACAATCCCATTTACCATTGCAACAAAAAAATTAAGATACCTAGGAATAAACTTAACAAAGGAAGTAAAAGACCTGTACTCAGAAAACTACACGATGTTGAAAAAAGAGAGGAAGACATAAACAGATAGAAGAACATACCATGTTCATGGATTGGTAGAATCAACATCATTAAAATGTCCATACTACCCAAAGGAATCTATAGATTCAATGTACTCCCCATTAAGAGTTAATATCATAAAGCACAAAGTGCTCATAGATTCATTGTGTGAAAGGGTAAGGCAAGTAATGTGAGAGAATTGGGCCTGAGTCATAAACTTGGATGAGAAAGGATTGTTGGACTTAAGAGCTCACACCCCTTTGATAGGAAGCATCTGTTGCTCAACTCCATCTAATTGTTTACATGCAGGATTATTTCCAGGTCTGATTTTTTACAAGAGAAACCAAAGATGTAGATTTTAAAGTGAAATCTCTTGTTTTAATAATGAGGTTTTTTTTTTTACACCATGTGGACTAAACAATATATCTGAGAGGTAGATTTGACCTCAGATTGCCAGTTAGTTACTGTTTTATTCAAATATGAGAAGATCATCAAGATCCCAATGGGAAAATGAACCAAAGACATGAACTCATTAATAGTCTCAAGAAATACAACTAGAAATACATATGAAAAGAATTTCAGCATCACTGGTAATTAAGGAAATATAAATTAATAAAATACTATTTTATACCTCAAACTAGAAAGTAATAAAGCAGTATAATCTAGGGCACTCTGGGTTATGGGGTAGCAGGTATAATTATCCTAAACTCGCAGTCCCGGACCCCTTGGGGGATGTCCACCTGTCGACTTAGGCCCACTCCCTGGGGGATCAGGCCTAAGTTTGCAGTCAAACATCCTTCTGGCAGCCAGGGAGCCCTCAGGGGATGTTCGACTAAAGGCTTAGGCCCCCAAGGGTTTGGGCCTAAACTGTTAGTTGGACATTCTTAGTGCTGCCACGGCGGTGGGAGAGGCTCCTGCTACCACCTCTGCACTGGCCAGCCATGAGCCAGCTTCTGGCTGAGTGGCACTACTCCTCGGTCTGACCTAAACCTTAGAGATTAGTGCTTCATTTTACAACTTTTTCTTGGTTTGTAGGCAGCAGCAAACTCAGACCATACAGTCAGGTATGCAAGAAATGTTACTTTCTTTATTGTTTAGTAACCAAACCTAACTTCAGCTTCAGCCCCCATTCTGCCAAGTGAAAAAACAAAAACAAAATATTATTTAACTTAGGTTCCCCACCCCCTTCTCTGGAGTTGTACTTCCATGTCAGACAGTTTATATCTCAGGCAGAGGTGCCAAAGAACCAAGCAGGGTCAAGGACATCTGGACCTCAGTCTTCTGTCTGGGCTGGCCCCCACCCAGGTGCCCTTGACCCTCACCTCAGAGCTCAAGTCCATGCTGATCCCTGGTATATTCTCCTCATCTGGGCCTTGAGGCCTCTTGAGTCCAATTTGTTCTCTCCCTCCCTGCCACCTTCTCTCTCTTACACAAAGAGGTATTGGGCTTTCTGAGGTGAGGTCCTCTGACACCTCCTCAGCCCCGTTGCACAGACACCATCTTGGTGCCTGGGTCACCGCCATCAGGCTGTGTGGTTGCCCTCAGACCCTCTGTCTCCTGCTGCCTTAGGGAGTGACTCAGTGGGAGGGGAGGGTTATAGTCCTTTTTACATGGCCGCCAACAAACACTCTGTTCCTTCCCTCTAGTTCTCCTTCTCCTCCTCACCCCAGTCCAGGCACGTCTATGTTCAGGGCAGGGGAGGGTGGGAGGCAGGATTTCTGGAGGCGGTCAGCATGGAACATTCCTGCCCTGGATTGAGGAGTGGTCTCTGGGTGTTAAGAATACCGGGAAGGGGAGCACAGACTCCTCCTAGAGCTCTGAGAGGGGAAAGGCAGCACCCCCTCACTTCTAACCCCAGGATGTTTCTTTAGAAGCAGAATCCTCGTCCCGTGCAGGGGCCTGTGCTGGCTGCCTCAGTTTCTCAGAGACAAAGAATTTGATGAACGTCTTTTCCCCACTGCAGTAGCTGCTTCATTTGTTCGTTCTCACATTTTTCATTAGCTGCTAAATCGCCCCTGTGGCTGCAAACCTGTTGTGCCTGACTCAGCCAGTGGGGAGCTATGGGAGCTGTGCAGGGACAGGGGATGGGGGAGGGGGCCCGGCCTGCAGGGAGGGTCAGTGGTGCCTGCCGGGCTGTCTCAGAGGATGTGGCTTAGGTTAGGTCCTGTCCTTTGACGACTTTAGGAGGGGAGGCCGTGTCCTCTGCTCCCCACTTTGACTCAGGGGCGGAAGTTCTCCTTGCTCTCTGGCCTCATAACTCAGTGGATCATAGTGGGATACAGCAGGCAGGCAGCTTCTGCGGCTACACACAGGTGCTGGCCTGTGGCCCAGGACCTGGATCTGGGTCCCGGACGGCAGGCAGGTGGCTTCTGGGGTCGCACACAGGGGCCTGGATGGCAGCTCGCGCCAGCTCGTGCTGTCCCACCCTGCCTGCAGTATGCAAATTAGCCTCCATCTTTGTTGGTGGTTAATTTGCATATCATGCTGATTCGCCCATGGGATGTGTAGCGAAGGTACGGTCAATTATCATGTTTGTCTATTATTAGATAGGATAATAAAACCCTAACATGCAAATCAACCAAATGGCGGAATGACTGGTCACTATGACACACATTGACCACCAGGGGCAGACGCTCAACGTAGGAGCTGCCCCCTGGTGGTCAGTGTGCTCCCACAAGGGGAGCGCCACTCAGCCAGAAGCTGGGTTCACGGGTAGCGAGTGCAGCAACGGTGGTGGGATCCTCTCCCGCCTCTGAGGCAGCGTTAAGGGGCGGGCCTAAGCCAGCACACATACATCCCCCAAGGTGTCCCAGACTGCACCGCTGAGGGCCTTCCCTACCCCAGTGCACGAATGTCGTGCACTGAGCCTCTAGTTTACTATAAATCCTTTATAGGTAGAACAGCTTGACAGAACCCATAAAAATAAACCTGTCCTTTGGCCTAGGAACTAGTCTTAGGAATTAATTTCTTAAAAAGAATTCAAAAGTAGAAAAAGTAATAAGTAGTCAGATTTTTATAACTTTATATGAAAATGGTAAACACTTCAAAAGTTTGTTAAAAGAATTTGATATATGACACATCCATGCAATTAAGAATGATAAATCAGATGGTTAGAAACATGGAAATATTTATAAATCTTTACTTGAAGAAGAGTACACACATTTGTACTTCTTATGACTACAGTCATGATCAATTGTGAACATTTAAGTGGTTAAAATTTGAAATTTAGTACTTGCTGGCAATAATTGCTACATTAGAATGGTAGCATAAATGAAGCCCATATAAATAAATTAAAATAGCATTTGTCATGTTTAAAGTGATTTAGTAATTAAAAAAATAGATTCTTTCAAAAGAGTATTTGTAAAAATTGCAGGATTTTAAAAAATGCATTACATTTTTCTTCTACTTTGGAAATGATTACATTCATCTTCTTATGCATCAACAACCAATGTTATTTGCTTTTAACTTATCTGTTTCAGCTTTTACCCTTAAAGTTTTGGAATCACGACCTTGCCTTCTGGGGATGTTTGAAAATGGGCAATAGTATATTTTTTTTCTGCTCTTTAGTACTTTCTATTATTTTGATCTTGTTTATAACTTGATAGAACCTGTATAGCAGAATAATGCTTAACTATATTTTTTGCTTTTGTTTTATAAGTTAATTTTTGTTAAGAGATTTCTAACATCATCAGCATCAGGTGATGTGTTTTCTTTCAGCGGTATCCGGAAGGAGCAGCACCAGCAGCAGCCCACTGGCAGGGGAGTTTGTTAAGTCTCCAAATCAGAGTCTCCGCCTTGGCTTGTCTAGATTAGCACGTGTTAAACCTTTGCATCCAAACACTGCTAGTAGCTGAGTGTGGTAGTAAAGAAATGTTTAAGAGAATCACAGTTTGACAAGTGTGTTTATATTGTAATATAAAGGAGTCCTTTAACCTCATATAAATTATCTCTACCCATTTTGTGATTATGTTCTCTGAAAAGCTACTCAAGACTTCAATAAGATTTGTTTATAAGAATTATCTTGTAATATCATTTTCTTCTGAAGAGAATATTCTACATCCTTATATATAAAATAAGTCACTGTCATTAGTGTTTGTCTATTTGACATGGAGGAAGTCCACATTATATGCTATTTTTTTTTTCTAGTAACATGAGGGTTCTTTCTAGCTTTGACTAGTTTATGGCACTTTTGTTCAGAGTTTATCTGGCAAAATAAAACATTCCAATTTTCCCCAGGAGATATTTCTGGAATATGTTACTTAAGCTACATTGTCAGTTTTATTGCCAAGATGCTTATTGTTTTAGTCAAATATTTTTATAGGAAGAATTCAGAATGAATTTCCACATTAAAACAGTTGCTATAATATGACATGTTTTCTACTTAGGAATAGATGGTTATTATTTAGCAGATAGAATTTCATGACATTTTGTGAAGTCCTTATTGTCAAACCCTTTAATAAATATGAAAAAGTTTTGATATGATCTTTTTCTTGATTCCATTGCATCCATCTGTCTCTTCTCTGACTGTCTGCATTTCATGATAAAATGAGTGCTTAGCCAAAAACATTAGCCTTTTGTTGTAAATATAAAAGGGGGCTGTTAAAGTAATCACTTTATGTTAAGTCAGTACTTTTGAGGGTGGCTGTTACGTACGTACCTAATTATTCCTATTAGTTCATTTAGCTTTTCAGGAAACTTAGATCTGAATTTGTGAATAAAATAGTAGTAAATATTTTATATTGTGAAAATTCCAACCAACTCCTTATCACTTTTAATAAAAATTCTTCAAATTACAATAACCATTTTAAAAATGTGTAATATGGCCCTAGCCAATTTTGCTCAGTGGATAGATTGTCAGCCTGCTGACCCAAGGGTTCCATGTTTGATTCCTGTCAAGGGCACATACCTTGGCTGCAGGCTTCTCCCTGGCCCAGGCCCTGGTCAGAGTGTGTGCAGGAGGCAATCAATCAATGTGTTTCTTTCAGATCAATGTTTCTCTCTTGTTAGGTCTGATCAAATAATTGAATTGATACCTCCTCCCCTGGGGACTGACCTTTAGGCCACTTTACAAAGAACATTCCCTCTTGCTTAGACCACATTCCACTTGCTAAGATCATTATCTGTCCCCTACAGACCTTCCTAGGATCTGGACCCACCCAGAGAATTCTCCGCCCAGAAAAAGCCTGCCTAGAGTCCTTTAAAATGTCTAACTCCCTGTTCTTGGGGGCTAGTGCCATTTAGGGGCTCAGCCCATCTGGTATCCATATGACCTAATCCTATATAAAAAAAGCATAGTATGTAAATTGTCCCCTTGACCGGGAGGTCGACAGGGACTTTCAACCAGGGGGCAGGGCTGGCCAGCTGAAGGAAGGGAGCGCCCAGCCAGCAGCCAGAAGCCACTTTGAGACCCTACCAGTGCACAAATTTCGTGCACTGGGCCTCTAGTAAATTCATAATCCTGCACCACTTTGGACTTGTGCGTTTCTCCTCTTGTGACCCTAACATCTCTGTCTTTCCCTCCCACTCTAAAATAAATTAAAAAATATCCTCGGGTGAGGATTAAAAAATAAATTAAAAAAATAAATAAAAATATGTAATATGTAGCTCAGTTCTTTTTGATTTATGAAATCATGTGAAAACATGTAATTTAGAATTATGATTTAAGTAAGCATTTGCATTTTGCTATTGTCCATTTTTATTATCCAGTAGATATTTTTATACTGTCCTGTACCACCTCACCTACCCTCCCCCATTTTTAAACTATATTTTCCAGTTATACAGTATTAAGATACCCTATATGTTGCAGTTCAACAGTAAACATTTATTAAGAGCCCACCCTGTATTAGATACTGATGTCATTGTTTAATCATCTGGCACAAGTTCAATGAACCTGTTTTCTCTGTGTAATTCATAGTTTCTGTTGAAACCCTAAAATTTCTTAAACTGGCCTTGCAGAAAGCATTAATGAGCTCATTAATGTTGCCAAATCCAGTATACATTTTTCTCACCTAATCTTGTAGAACCCTATTCATCATACTCTGGGTATGGGTAACACTATTCTTTCATAATTTCACCCCATCTCCCTGCCTACTCTTCATTATTTTGCAGCTTTCTAATCTTGTCACACCCATTTCTGCCTTCATGGTGTCATATTCTGTGATTGTATTCTTTTCTGTCCTTTAAAAAGAAAATCCAAAAGCTTAGGTGATTTCAAGCTCCAGTGGTCACCTATGTGACAGTGACTGCCATGTCAGGAACTTTAGTCCAGAGCTTACTCTGCACAAAACTTGTTGCCTTGTCCATTGATAATTTGATGTATTAAATCATCAATAACATCTCCCCTTGCCCCCAAAGTCTTCCCTCCTATATTTTATCAGTAAATGGCATCATCACAAACTCAGGTGCCTAAGGCATTGTCACCCTTCACATCCTATCATCAGGCTTTATTTTCCTCTATTGCTCAAAACTGTTCTCTCCTTCCACTGGTCCCTTACTCTAAAATATCACCACTTAACTACTTTTACCTTGATTCTTAACCTACGCTGGCTTACCCTCCATACCATTATTACCAGAGGGAGCTTTCTAAAATAAAGTTTGAGCATGAACACTCCCCTGCTTAAAATCCACGCACATATACCTTAGCCTATTTAGCTCACAAGCTATTTTGAATTAGTCTGGCCCCTGCCTGACCCCCATGATATTATGCCCTCGGAACCCTGGGCCTTCAGGTTGGCTCTTATTTGCCTTCTTTACATTGTGAGTTCTTACTTGTCTTGAAAATTCAAATTCAACTCAGCTTTTCAGAAAGCTTTATTTGGATGTCTGTTGCCTCTGTAGACCATACTGTGTATTCCCTGAGGCCACCCTGCCATCATCGTATATAATAAAAGCTTAATATGCAAATCGACCAAACAGCAGAACAGGGTTGCTATGATGCGCACTGACCACCAGGGGCAGACGTTCAAAGCAGGAGCTGTCCCCTGCAAGCTTCAGGCCAGCCAAGGCGGGTGCCAGTGGGGGCCCCCTCATCACCCGGCTGGCTGCCCCACAGATTGGCCCTGATTGCTGGCCAGGCCTAGGGACCCTACCTGTGTACAAATTTTGTGCACTGGGCCTCTAGTTTAACTATAACTTTCCTTAGTTTTCCTGTTTTTAAAACCTGGTGCAGAAGCAAGTGCTCTAAGTGGTCATCTAATAACACATGTATTCAAAACTTGTTCTATGAATTCTGGTAACCACAAACTTTGAAAAAGGAAGAGGGTAGGGATAATTTTATGAGCCTGCTCTGTTTTGGTCAACTATAATCTATCCTTGGGAAGTCCTCCAATTCTTGTCCCAAACTTTAAAGAACTGGGGCAAGAGAATTGGAGCAGGATGAAAAGATATGTGTTTTTCAGGTTGATGTAAAAGGTGGTTCAGGACTAGACCAGAGCCTTAAGTCCTTTCAGCTCTGGAGTCACAAAAAGGGCGGACACAGTTTCTATAGCGACATGAGGAGGGTGTGGTCCTCCAGCTGCACTTCCAGGCGCCAGCAAGGTGCCACTCCTCCCACCTCCTACTCCCACCTGAACAAAAGGCAAGAGAGGCCACGGGGGCTCGCAATCCGAAATCCCAATCCGCTACATCCCAGTGGCCCTTCCAGGGTAAGAAGCACCCAAAGCAATGGGGGAAGGAGGTTGGGGGAAGTGGGGAGAATGAAAGCCCTACAGAATGCAAAAAAGTAGAAGGGGGCATGTGGGTCGGAGGAGATAGGGGCGGCTCTGAGTGCAGAGAGAAGGCAAATAAAATTTTAGATCTTGCTCTGAGCTGCTGCATCCTCACAACCCAACATTGACAACGTTTCTGCTAATGGAATGTTGCATCGCTGACTTTAGCTGACTGCTGGTGGGGAGAGATGGATTTTAGGGAACTCGAGACCTACCCTAAAACTGCTTCCAACCCTGACCCCAACAACCCGGGACACAAATTTCCTACTCTCTTTCTTTATGTTCACTGTACGTCCAAAGTGAGTCCCTGACCACTCGTGGATGAGGTCTGGCTGCTACTAGCCTATTCCTACCCAGCTCACAGTCCCGCACCTCCCAGGTCAACCAGAGCTGAATCCTCCACACAAGAGCACTTTAAGGTTTATTCCTTCAGAGCAACACTTCAGGTGCTACTTGCCGCTCCTCTGGGGTAATTCCCAGTAGTAGGTGGGGTTTTTTTGTTTGTATGTTTGTTTTCCTTAAAAAGGGGATGCAAAATTTGGGATTTTTCTTTTTTAAGTGTAGTTAATGTGTGGTATTTGCTACGTTTGAAATGTCCATCAGCCAATTCAGGGTTTAAGCAACTTGTGACCCTTTGGACAATTTTTAAATGACTGACAATTCACAATCTTAGTTCATGCTTCACTGTTCAGGTTTAAAAGGAAACTTAGCAAAAGTGTGACGCCATTTAAATGAAAAGTTCAAACTGAGAAACAACAAATATAAGTGTCCCTTGTGACTAGTCAGTCTTTTTTTAAATTATCTTTATGGTTGAAAGTATTACAGATGTCCCCTTTGGTGTTCCTCCTCACCCCCCCCCCCATTAATACCTCCACCCGCACCCACTCCTCCCAAGCATTCACCACGTTATTGTCTGTGTCCATGGGCTATGCATATATGCATAGAAGTTCCTAGTTAATTTCTCCCCCCACTCACCGACCCCTGCCTTCTCTCTGAAATTCGTTAGTCTGTTCCAGGTTTTATGTCTCTGAATCTATTTTGCTCATCATATTCCACATGCAGTCTTTCTCTGACTGGCTTATTTCGCTTAGCATAATATTCTCCAGGTCCATCCATATTGTTGCAAATAGTAAGAGTTCCTTCTTTTTTACTGCCAAATAATTTCCATTGTGTAAATGGACCATAGCTTTTTTATCCACTCATCTGCTGATGGGTACTTAGGCTGTTTCCAACTTTTAGCTATTTTAAATTGCACTGGTATGACCATAGGAGTGCACATATTCTTTCTGATTGGTGTTTCTGACTTCTTAGGATATATTCCTAGAAGTGGGATCACTGGAACAAATGGGAGTTCCATTTTAATTTTTTGATGAAACTCCATATTGTTTTCAACAGTGGCTGCACCAGCCTGCATTCCAACCAGCAGTGTAAGAGGGTTCCCTTTTCTCCACATCTTCACCAGTACTTGTCATTTGTTGATTTGTTGATGATAGCCATTCTGACAGGTGTGAGGTGATACCTCATTGTCATTTTAACTTGCATCTCTCAGACAATTAATGACTTCGAACATTTTTTCCTGTTTCTTGCCCTTCTGTATGTCCACTTTGGAGAAGTGTCTATTTAGGTCCTTTGCCCATTTTTAAATTGGATCGTTTATCTTCTTTTTGTTAAGTTGTATGAGTTCCTTATATATTTTGGAAATTGATCCCTTATCAGTTATATCATTGGCAAATATATT